TGTGGGAAATTCATAGCAGTGAATGCCCACACTAGGAAAACAGAGTGAGCTCAAATAAACAACCTAATGGTGAATCTTAAGCTCCTAGCTAAAGAAGAGCAAGAGAAACCCAAAGCTCATACAAGGGAGGAAATTATAAAGATCAGAGCATAAATCAATGTAATAGAGACTAAGAGAATGATACAAAAAAATCAATGAATCAGAGAGTTGGTTTTTTGGAAGAATAAATAAAATCGATAAACTCTTAGCCAACTTTATCAAAAAAATGAAAGAAAAGGTTCAAATTCATGCAATTAGGAATGAAAATGGTGAAGTCACAACAGACTCAGCAGAAATCCAGAGGATTATTAATACTTACTTTGAGAATCTGTACTTTAATAAAATGCAGAACATAGAAGAAATGGACAGGTTTCTAGACACATATGAATTACCAAAGTTGAACAAAGAAGATATAAATATTCTAAACACCCTAATTATAATCAGTGAAATTGAACATGTAATTAAAAATTTACCAACAAAGAAAAACCCAGGCCCTGATGGCTTCAATATTGAATTCTACAAGACATTTAGAGAAGAACTACTACCACTACTCTTTAAACTTTTCAGTGAAATTGAAAGAGAAGCAATACTTCCAACTTCATTCCTGGAAGCAAGTATTACTTTTATTCTAAAACCAAGGAAAGACCCAACCAAAAAAGAGAACTACAGGCCAATCTCACTAATGAACATAGATACAAAAATCCTCAATAAGATACTAGCAAACGTAATACAGAGGGTCATCGAGAAGATTGGATTTATCCCAGGGATGCAAGGATGGTTCAACATACATAAGTCAATAAATGTAATACACTATATTAAAAGAATCAAGGACAAAAACCATATGATCCTCTCAACAGACACAGAATAAGCATTTTACAAAATTCAACACCCATTCATGGTATTAAAAAAACCCTACAGAAAATTGGAATAGATGGTCTTTATCTCAACCTGATAAAGGCTAGCTATGAAAAGCCAACAGCCAACATCATACTCAATGGTCAAAAACTGAAAACCTCCATGTTAAAATCAGGATTAAGACAAGGATGTCCACTGCCACCACTTGTGTTCAATATAGTTATGGAAACATTAGCCACAGCAATTAGACAACAGAAAGAAATAAAAGCAATAAAGACAGAAAAAGAAGAAGCAAAACTGTCATTATTTGCTGATGATATGATACTGTACATAGAAGACCCAAAGAACTCAGCCAAAAGATTTCTAGATTTGATTGACAGATAAAGCAGAGTATCTGGATACAAGGAAAATACTCAAAAATCAATTGCCTTCTTGTACACAAATAACAGTCTCACTGAGAGTCAAATTAGAGAAACAATCCCTTTCCCAATAGCATCCAAAACAATGAAATATCTAGGAGTCAATCTAATGAAGAGGACAAAAGACCTCTACACTGAAAACTACAACACTCTTTAAAAAGAGATTAGAGAGGATATAAGAAAATGGAAAAACATCTGTTGTTCCTGGGTAGAAAGAATCAATATAGTGAAAATGGCCATACTTCTAAAACTGCTATACAGATTCAAAGACATCCCTATTGAAATCCCAACAGTTTATTTCATAGAATTAGAGAAAACAATCCAAAAATTCATTTGGAATCAGAAGAATAGCAAAAGCAATTCTAGGCAATAGAGACATGGCAGGGGGTATCATAATCCCCAATTTAAAACTATACTACAAAGCCACTGTGATTAAAAACAGCATGGTACTGGCAAAGAAACAGACCCGAGGATCAGTGGAATAGATTAGAAGATGCAGAAACATCTGACATACTCAACTACATCATCTTTGACAAAGAAACAAAACACCCTCACTTGAAGAAAGGTAGCCTCTTTAATAAATGGTGTTGGAAAAACTGGATTTCAACTTGTCAAAGATCAAAACTAGACCCATATCTTTCACCATGCACTAAACTAAAATACAAGTGGATTAAAGATATAAATATTAAAACAGAAACACTAAACTTGAAGGTAGAACTCTTGAAGATATCAGCATAGTAAAAAACTTTATGAACAAATCCTCAGTAGCACAGGAACTAGCACAAAGAATCAGCAACTAGGATCTCACCTTCTTAAAGCCTCTTCACTGCCAGAGAAAGCACAAGCAGAGCTAACTGACAACCCACAAAGTGGGAAAAAAATTTTACCAGCTGTTCCTCAGACAAAGGTCTACTACTATCTAGAATATATAAAGAACTCAAAAAAACCAGAACCCCCAAATATAAAGACCTGATTAAGAAATGGGCATCTGAAATGAACAAACATTTCTCAGACAAAGAAGTAAAATCATCAAATAGTCACATGAAAAAATGTTCAGCATCACTGGTCATTCGAGAGATGCAGATAAAAACAACACTGAGATTCCATCTCACCCCAGTAAGAATAGCTGCTATCAAGAAATCAACCAACAACAAATGCTGGCAGGGTTGTGGGGAGAAAGGAACACTTCTCCATTGTTGGTGAAAGTGCAGACCAGTGCAACCACTGTGGAAATCATTGTGGAAATGCCTCAAACAACTAGGATTAGAAGTCCCATTTGACCAAGCTATTCCTCTGCTGGGTATCTTCCCAAAAGGATTAAAAGAATCATATCACGGCGATATATGCTCACCCTTGTTTATAGCGGCACAGTTTGTAATAGCTAAAACTTGGAAACAGCCCAACTGCCCATCAACTGGAGATGGGATAAAGAAGATGTGGTTTTTCTATAAAATGGAATACTACTCAGCCACAAAGAATGATAAACTAGAGGTATTTATAGCTAAGTGGATGCACATTGAGGCCATACTCTAAAGTGCAGTAAATAGGACACATATGTAAATACAGAATAGTGTCTCTGGTGTGAAAAATTAAAAGTGTAAATAAGGATTAAAATGTATAATCGATGTGTATATATGTGTACATAAAATGTTGATAATTTTGTAAAATTGCTTATAAATAAGGTTTTATCATCTTTTATCATCACACAATATGTATGACAGTCCTTCTTTCCCTGCATCCCCATTGTCATAATTTATTATCAAATCTTTTGCTTAGCACTCAATTTGAAAGGTAAAAATGTGTGTGTCCTTTTGGTTTTAATTTGTAGTTCATTTAGTATGTGTGATTGAACATATCTCCAACTAAAGAAGCATTTGCAATAAAAAATGTAAATTGATATTGTGTAATAGGAAGAAAAGTCTAAAAAAGTAGAGGAAGTGGGAGGGGTAGGGGGAAGGTAAAAATGGAAAAGAAAAAATTTGTGAAAAGGAAAAACATGGAAACAATGTCTTTGTAAACAGGAAAGGGTGGAGGGGCTAGGGAATGGGGAAAAATAAGAACCTGATAAGTCATGTATAGGTACAAGATCCCGAGGATGAATGTAACTGTGTTGTATACCTAATGTGTACCAATAAATTAATAAAGATAAAAAAGCTTGTATGACTGGACCCTTGCCAACCACTCCAATTTCATTATATTCCTCTTCTTCAGTCATGCACACAGAAAAGAGAAACTGTGTATATGACTCAGAACAAGAGAAAAGCCATCAGTGACTATTATATACACCAAAGGCCGATGTGAAATCTAAAGCTGTACATTAAAACTGTTTTTCTTAAAGTATTGAAAATAGTTTGAGTTTTGGACCTCTTACTATGTCAGCAACTAAGAAGCATATGAAATGGCCTTATATATTTAGTGCATTAACTGAGTGAGCTTATACTTTACTATTGCTAAGAATAATGCTAAGTGTTTCTCATGTGTTTCTCTCACTGAATCCTCAAATCAGCCCTAAACAAGAGGTAGCTCCAATTTTTCCTTATTCCCATTTTTATAAAGAGGACACTACTATTGACAAAGTCAAATGGCATTTTCAAGGTTACATAGGAGTAACAGGAAAAGTCATTACTTAAATCCAGGTCTATGTCGTTCAAGAACTTGTGTTCTTATCATTATGCTACTCTGTCTCTTAGAACAGCTGCCAAAGAAAGACCAGGCTTAAATTTGTAGTTAATTTACTTGGAAAATAATCTGCCAAATCCAAGATTAGATTTCCATGAAAGCACCTAAAATAGCATCAAAGTTTTAAACCTGCAGCTGAGAAAATTATCTGTATTCTGGATAATTTATTTCTTAGGTTCATCCTGAACTATGGGCCGACTTCTCCCTGGTTTAGCTGAGTTTCTCAATTACAGACTTTATACCTCCTAAAACTCACCCAAAACATAACTATAACCCTCCAACCACCATCTCTGTAAACTGAGAATATCATTCAAAGAAGTAAAACACTCAAGCTCTAAGACCACCTAATTGCTTCTGACTCTATTAGGGAGCATTTAAAATAGGCTTAATGCAATAATAGTAACATGTACATTGAACTAGATACAGATTTTCAGAGGGATGGTTACCAACTGGGGAACTGCAGAGGGAAATGGTAAACAGAGAGAGAGGCTTGAATTCCACTCTATTTTCAGATTATTGAAACTCCGAAGGGAACTCTAATAAACATTAAGTAATTTTAGGGATCAAGTAAAGAATATTTTCCTAGGACAACTACTTTCCTGACATGGTGGCGATTTGTTGTGGGTCCCAGAGATTTAACTCAGTATTCAAAAGTTTACCGATAGAAATTCATATTTTAAATGCACTTCTACAGACAATATTTTTGCAACCTTGTTCACTGGTTGCTCCACAAATGGACAGGATACAGGCACTGTGCAGAGCACCTAGGCTTCATTGATGAGAAAGTCCAGCTGTAAGAGCAGCTAGAAATCTCCTGGGCCAGTCCCAAACAGATGTCCACAGCCCACATGCAGCAGATGGAAACACATCCTTTGTTTTTATAGTCTTACCTAGAAAGCCCTCTGGTTGCAAACTCAGACTTCAACAAGATAAACTGGAGTGCACCGTAGGTGGAGACTTAAAAGCCGCACATACAGGCGCTGGAGCCTGTATGCAACAGGTACTTACTCATGCAATCTCCGCCATACCAGCCCGCTCGGCACTCTGCGCAGTAGAAGCCCTTGATGTAGAAGTCGTCCAGAGTGCCTCCCCATGAGCCATTGCGGCAACTCTTGCAGTTTTCAAAGATGGTACAACCTGGAATATTTCCAAGAACAATGTTGAGCCTCACAAGTTCTAACAGTCTTCATAGGAGAATAACTATGTAGTTTCTCAGAGTCCTGTCTCTGTGAAGAGCTTCTCGGCCTAGAAAGATGTCTAAGTGCTTAAAAAAAAGTCTCATCTGAAGGAAAATGCAAGAGACTCCAGGATTCAGACGAGGGAGTTTAATAGAGAAGCCTCGGTAATCTGCACAGTTAGTGACTGATGTTTTAAAGCAAAGTGAAATAACTTATAGTAAAAGGCAGAATCAATCACTTGAGTGTTAGTTTTTCTCTTTACAGATGTATTTCATTTTACCAAAGAAAATTTAGAAAATCGAAGAGAAAGAATTCAATAAAACATCTAAATTTATATCACCTAGAGAATTTTACTGCAAACACCCTGCATGTATATGAATATGTATGTACTGCATATGTTGCTTAAAGTTAGATTTATGTTATATTTTATACATCCCATTTTTATAACTCACTTTTTAATTTAATAACAGATAATAAATATCTTTCTGTACCATAAATACTCTTCTATGTCATATACTTCTTTTTGGTTTTTTAGTGGAGTTTTGCTGCTTTGCTTTGCCTTGCTTACCTTTGTTTTTTAAGACAGGGTCTTACTATGCAGCCCAGGCTGGCCTCAAACTCCCAGTTCTCCTACCTCAGCCTCCTGAGCAGCTGGGGTTGCAGACACATGCTGCCCTGCCCTACTATGCCATAAATGTCTATAAGCAAAGTACGCCACAGATAACACCCTATTGCCTAATGATGCACTTGCCCTGGAAGGGACCAGCCTGCCCTCCACCACCAGAACACACCAGAGAGGGATGAGCAATTCCCAGGCATGAGGTGGTGGTAATGACAAAAAGTAGAAAAAATTTTGTCCCATTGAGCTAAACAGAGAACTCAGCTGGGTATCAAACTGCTTTAGGTGGCCATGCCTTTGTGCTTTCGCCTGTCAAACTGGGATTTAAAACTGTACCTACCTCATGGGGCTGTTTAAAAATAAATGAACACATACCAAGCACATGGTAAGTACCTCTAAAATGTGAGTTATGGCTCTTCTGCTTTCCCATAACTCCACTTGTTTTATCCACACCATTGCATGCAGGTATCGTGCTTATTTCTAACTGCCTATGACCTATTTTCCTGTAACAGACTTAAGTGAAGGACTGACTCTCGTTCAACATTACATCCTTAGCACCTAATATTTTGCTGGCATATAATGAGTGCTCGAAAAATACTATTTGATTAAGTGAGTGGATGAATGAATGGCTAATGGACTACTTGAGATATGAGGCATCTCCTCAAGCTGACAGAAGGCTTCTTTGCTTTTGGTTGTAATTAAGTTTTCCTTGGTCTATAGTAATACACATGTGTGGTTTCAATAGAAGAGGGTCTTCTAGTCCTCTCCACACCCTCCTGACTTGACTTTCCCTCCTATCAGAGAGATGAGTTGCTGATACTATTCATCACATTCCAGTAGGTCTTGTACCATATTACTGAGTCCCAGTTGGGTCACTGTGTCTTCCCAAGGCCAACCTCACCCACAGGCCAATTTCCTCTTCCATGTCCTATCCACTGTCTCACTGAGGAGGCAAATGAACTCAGAGCCTTCCCTCAATGGCTCTGCCAACTCCTCTTCTTGGTCCCCAGGTATAAGCTGCAAGAACCAGTCTGGTGATTAAGATGAGCATGGGCCGTTAAAAGATGCTAGGCAGCTCACAGACTGCTGCAGGTCTACACGGGACAGAAGTACAGGAAACCACATTGGTCCACTGAGGGCTCTGAGGCTGCTAGATGCTGCTGAATGTCACTATCGATAGCCCTGCCACTGGCATCCCTAGACCCTAATCATCCTGCACCACTGCCACCAGCAGAGTGATCATCTATCATGATAGAAATGGAAACTAAACCACACTGAGACATTTTTCCAAATAAGAGGTTGACAAAAACACAGAAAAACAATCTGTTGCAATGCTTTGGGAAAATCAGCACCCTCATGCACTCCAGGAATGAATGCCAAATGCATGGAGGAAAATAGGCTAGAAAATGACACGTATGCCTCTCCTTGACCCATTAACACCTCTTCTGGGAATCCACGTCAAAGACATACTGCAAAACTCCTAAATTGCATATGCTCACTAGTACTCACCATAGTATTGCTTATACAAGTTGAGTATCTCTCATCCAAAAATCTGATGTCAAAAATACTTCAAAATCTGAAACTTTTTGCATACCAACATGACACCACAATTGGAAATTTTCATTTTTTAAATCCTGTGATAAATAACAGCCAAAACGCAGTCACACAAAAAATATTGTGTAAAACTGCCCTTAGGCTATGTGTGAGTAGGTGTATATGAAACAAATGAATTCTGCCTTTAGATTTAGGTGCCGATGTCTCATTGTGTATCTGCTATTTCAAAATCCAAAAAAAAAAAAAAATCCAAAACACTTTTGGTCCCATTCATTTTTAATAAAGGATACTCATAGTAACAAAAGGTTAGAAACAACCCAAATGTCCATAAATTCTAGTGAAAGACATAATGCAGTTATATGCAACTGTGAAAAGAAATGAAGAAGATGCCTTAACATTGATGTGTAGTGATCCCCAGTATGTGCTGTTAGGAGAAAAAAATCAGGACAGTTAGCAAAGTTTATACTATGTTACCTTTTGGGTAAGACAGAAAAGGATATATGAATGCATATACACATTGCTTTGCCCTTCAAATACAGAAAACTTATCTGCATATCATACAGCCTGACACAAGAGGAAAAAACTACATCAGTTGATTTTAATAGGTAGTATTTTGACCATGTAGTGAGATATATTCTGAAGTCAGTAATAACCATAAAGAAATCACTTCCTTCAATGGTCTTATTGTAGGTAATGACACCATTGATATTTATTATAAATATATTGTGTCCGAATATAAAATAAAGCAAGTAACTGATTAGATTACTGTTAACAGTAAATAAGTTTTCACCATGAGAGAAAAATAAAAGAAGTGAATAACCTTGTACTGTCACATTTGAACTTGAGCATCAATATACATTCATTTTTTCTTTTTAAAAAATATATATTTATGTTTTAGCTCTGCCCACTAAAATATAAACCACCTAGAAACAATAACAGTTCAATGGCCAGAAACAGCACAGGTCCCCAGGGTGTGGTCTCAGGACCAGAGATCCTTGGAGAAAATTACTGATATTGGGCAGAAAATGTATAGGAATCCTGAAATATCTCATCACTGGAGAAATTAAGGAAGCCTTCTAAAACCAGTATGATTATATTTGAAGAACACAGAAAGACACAAAGGGGCTTCCAGTGTGTTAAAATGCGACAATACATGTGCTGAAATCAATAATGACAAAAATTGATGAAACTACCCATATAAATAAAAATGCAGAAGTTTATAATGACATACACAGAATCCACTTTGATTCTCAACCATAGCTCCCAGGACATCAATTTACTATTGTATTCTAGCAATTTATCTTGCCACTCCTTTCAGGGTAATGAAATGGTTCATTTGGGATGGTCCTTCATCAGAGAGCTCCCATGACCATTTGGGGCATCTTCCATTTGGGCGGAGTCTGGGGGCCTCCTGTCCAGTGCAATGGGGACTGCACAGCGCCATCTAGGGGGAAGACGCCTGTCGGCTGACTGGCCCTAGGCAGGCGTGCAACCAAGGCTCACCAACAATAGCCACCAGGCTTTGGGAAATCCTGAAAATCATCCAAAGACTTCCAAGGACCCTTAGTATAGTAACCTTGGTTTTACTTTCAAATTGTACTAGAAAAATTGGGGGTATTCTCAACCGTTTCTCACAAACTACACTCATCCATCAGGAAATGGGTGCAGTGTGTTTATCTCTGGAGTCGAACAAAAATTATGCTGAAGTCATTGTGATTTTACATATATGCTTATTAGTCTGTTAATTTAAAAGTATTGTACTTTTTCAAGTGTTATTTTATGTGTGTATAATAAGTATTTATTATGTTCATCCCCCCGTTGCTTTCCCTTATGCCCTTCTATCCATTTTATTTCTATTCTTTTGTTTAATAACAGCACCCTTCCTACTTTTGTGTCATCTTTTTAGATTCCACATTTAGATATTTGTCTTTTGATTCTGTCTTATTTTGATTAACATAGTGATTCTCAGTTCCATCTGCTTTTCTACAAATAACATCACTACATCATTTGTTTTTTTATGGCTGAATAATGCCCTTTTACATTTCATTTATCCATTCTCCTGTTGATGGGCACCTAGACTGGCTCCCCTTGGCTACTGTGAACTGTGCCACAATATCAAAATGCAGGGGCCCTATAGTACGTTGACTTTAACTCCTTCAAATATGTGTCAGTAAGTGACATAGCTGGGTTATACGTTGGTAGTAGTTTTAGTCTTTTTGAGAAACCTCCACAATGACTTCCACATGGACTATTCTCACCAGCAGTGTAGAAGGACTGGTTTTTCTCAGCATCTTCCCCAGCATTTATTGTGTTTTATTGTTCTTGATGACAATCACTCTGGCTGTAGTGGGGCAAACTCTCGATGTACATGTAGATTTGATTTACATTTCCCTAGTAACTAAAGATGTTCAACATTTTTTCCTGTACTTGTGGGTTATTTGTACTACATTTTTTAGAAGTGTCTGTTCCATTCACATGCCCATTTACTGATTGGACCCTGATTTTTTTTGTGTGTGTGGTGTTAAATTGTTTAGTTCTTTATGTATTTGAGATATTAATCCTCTGTCAGAAGAGCAACTGGGTAAAGATTTTTCTCCCATTCTGTAGGTGGTCACTTCACTTAGTTGTTTCCCTTGCTGTGCATCAACTCTTTAATTTGATGCAGTACCACTTATTTGTTGATTATTCCTATCATTTCCTGTGCTGCTGTGGTCCTGTTCAGAAAGTCTTGCCTGTGTCTATGGCTTCAAGTGTTTTCCCTGTATTCTCTTTGAGCAGTTTCAAAGTTCCAGGTATTATGCCTAAGTCTTTGAACCATTTTAAATTGATTTGTGAGAGGCAGGGATCTAGTTTCAATCTTGTACAAAGCAATATTCAATTTTCTCAGCACTATTTGTTAAAGGTTATCTTTTCTCCAATAAATGTTTTTGCTTCCGTTGTTAAAAATCTGGCACTTGTAGATCTCAGGATTTGTTTCTGTACTCTGGAGTCTGTTCCACTGGTCTATGAGTCTATTTGTGTGCCAGTAACATGCTGCACAACAATTATTTGTAGAATAATTTGAAATTGGGCATTGTGATGCTTTGCACCATGCCCTTTTTGCCTAGGATTACTCTGGCTATGCAGGATTTTAGGATTGTTTTTTCTCATTTTGTGAAGACTGTCATTGGAATTTTAAAAGGATTGCATTGAATCTGTATATAATTTTGAATAATATGGCCATTTTAACAATAGTAATCATTTCTGTGTATAAACATAGGACCTTTTCTAACTTCTAGCATCATTTTTAATTTCTTTCTTCAGTGTTCTATAACTTTCTTTGTAGGGTCTTTCACTGCCTGGGGTTAGATTGATTGCTAGGATTTTTTTTTTAAGTTATTACAAATGGAATTATTTTTCAGTTTTCTTTCTCGGCTACTTCACTATTAAAATATAGAAAAGCCATTTATTTTTTAAATGTTGATTTTGTACCCTGCTGCTTTTCTGAATTTATTAGCTCTAAAAGTCTATTTTGTGGATTATTAAATTAATTTAAGTTTAGAATCATATCACCTAAAATTAAGAGTAATTTAGTTTCTTTCTCTTCAATTTGTATCCTTTTTATTTCTTTTTCTTGCTTAATTACTCTAGCTACAATTTCAAGTACTGTATTGAATAGTAGTTCTAAAACATCCTTGTCATGTTCCTGATTTTAGAGAAATTACATTTAGATTTTTTATCATTTAGAATTATGCTGGCTGTGGGGTTGTCATATATATCCTTTACTATATTGAAGCATGATCTTTCATTACCTAGTTTCTTCAAAGCTTTTATCATAAAATAATGTTAAATTTTGTCAAAAGTTTTCTACATCAATTGAAATGATCATGCAATTTTTATCCTTGATTCTAGTTGTGTGGTGTATTACATTTATTGATTTGCACATGTTGAACCATCCCTGCATTCCTGGGATGAAACCAACTGAACCATGATGTATAATCCTTTTAATGTGTTGTTGAAATAGGTTTGCAAGTGTTTTATTAAGGATTTTTTTCATCTATGTTCATCAAGGAGACTGTTCTGTGATTCTTTTTTCTCTGTCATTGTCCAATTTTGCTATCATGTCAGTTTTATTCAAAGGTCAGCATTACTGTGTTCCAAGGAGAAAGGTGGATTAGAAGTACTATTTGTAGACTTGAGTCTCATTTTCTCTCCTCTTTCATTAGTTTCCCATGAAAGAAAGTTAGTTTCTAATAGCAATGAACATCATTCTCCATGTTTGTTCATTTTGTTTTTGTTTTTGTTTTTCTTAAGAAAAAGAAATACAAAAATGAGAAAATTTCCCAAAGAGTTCTTTTGATATCCTTTCATCCTTCAGTCTTTGGAAAAGATTATTTGAAAATTTGACATCCTTCTTTCAACCTGACCTAAAGAGGCAAAAGAAAGAATCCTCGCAGAAGTCAGAAGGGTAAAACAGGAAGACTTTTGAAAAAAATTTTGAAAAAAATTAATCAAGAAAATGATTAATGAGTTTCCAGTTACAACGGAAACATATCCTTCTGTTGGAGGTCCACAATGGCCACCACCAGGTTGGAATTTTGGTGCAGTTATCAAATCTCCAATCATTAAAAAGAAAACTCTCTGAAGTTGGGGCAGGAGAGAATGACAGTAGAGTAGAAGTCAGGCTTGGGATACGGTAAAGCAAAAGAATGAGCAAAACAGCTGGGAAGATCTTACCTCACCCAAAGATACTCTCTTGTTCCTGAGACCCAAACATCCCTCTTGGAAGCCAAAATATCCTTGTCTTCTTCTCCTCCCCTCTTTTCATTTGCTGTCCAGTCTATCTCGAAGTGTGTTCAATTCTGTACTGACTCCCAAATCCCTGAACCTCCCTCTAGCCACCCAGCTTCTAAGATTTCCAATGGCTACCACACCACCACTCTGCCAAAATATCTTCAGGGTGTAGCCTAAAATACCCTCTACCTAACCCCTATTCCCATCCCTGCTGTTATAGGACCCTGTGTGTCTCTCCCTCTGTACTTCTATGCACCTGTACAGCATCGTGTCACGGCTGCCTCATCAGCTGTTCTCCATCTCCCTCGTCAGGTTATGCTCTTGGAATTAGGGGTCTGGGTCAATTTCCTTTAATTGTTATACTTCTGGTAACTGATATGGAACAGAGGCCCTGCTCAGACTTTTTATTAAATAAATGAATGAGTGGTTGAATTCACATTTGCAACTTCAACAATGGAAAGAGGACCAACTCCTTTAATGTCTTTGCCGGAAGTCAAAGTCACTTTTAATAATCATAACACCACAGCCTCCTGATGGCTACAAGCTGGAATTCAGCCTATTCTCCCATCCCACCCTTACCTGGGTGGATCAGACAGGAGTCACACTCGTTCTCCTCATTCCTGCAGCAAGGGATAGTGTAACCCACAACTTCTTTCTTGCCGGGGCAGACACACTCAATCTGATCGTATTCGCAACATTCCCGACACATAATGTTCCACTCAGCTCCGGGGCAGCCTTCGTTAATGACTGTGTATTCTGCAATGCAAAGCCAGCAGGTGAGTACAGGTCCTGGTGGGAGAGATAAAACCTGAAGCTACTCCACTGTTAGGAATCAACCTTGCCCTACAAATGTGTTGCCCTGCCCAAGAGAGAAGAAGCATGGGGAGTCTTCAGAGTGCTATGCTTCCAAAAAGTGGGGTGGCTTTACCCCAGGAGGAACCGAAAAACCATCCACTGGAGCCTGGGTGAAATATGTTATAGCTATATTAGCTTTATTTTTATCTTCGAAAAGCCATGTTTCATAGGCTGGAATCTAGCTTACAAAAGACTCTGGGTTTCAGTCCCAACACTGCCAAAAATTGAATATATGCTCAACAATATGTATTCTAGGAGGATTCATAGAAGAACATGTACCTAATTAATAGACAAAAGCGTATTTCTTGGGTTTCATGTTCAGTTCATCTCTCTGTATCTCTCTATCTCTATCTCTGTCTATATCTATCTCTCTCTGTGTCTTTTTTTTTCCTCTGTCTCTCTCTCTTCTCATCCTGGAGATTGAAACCAGGACCTCATGCATGTTAGACAGACTCTGTACTACTGAGCTATATCACCAGCCCTCATTTCTATCACTTCTATTTTTGTTGTGATACAGTTCGCATACTCACATAAACCATGCACTGAACTACTCCAGGGGGAAACATTACACTGCATAACTCTGTAGAGCAGCCCAGGATTGGGGCCATCAGAAAACTTTGGAGACCACTCTCTAAACTAGGCCATTCTAGTACAAGCCTGATCGCCAAGTGGAGACTAAGCTACTCCTTCCAAACTTGGCTCCTCAAGTTTGAAGCATGCCATTTTCATAGTATCTTCAAAGCTAAAACCAACACAAAAGACAAAAAGTACCTTAATTAGTATGTTTGGGAGAATTTCAATGTTCTACAAGGGTGAACTCATTAGCCCAACTTTATTCAGTCCCCAAGTACAATCAAGAGTTCTTTCCCATGAGAAAAAAACTGTCCCTCTCTGAGTCAGAAATTTTCCCTTTCATACATAGGAATGAATATATATATACATATATATATATATATACACACACACACACACACACACACACACACACACACACCCACACACACATATATAGTTTCTCTCTAAATGTCTAACAGAGATT